GCAGACCGGCCAAGCGTTGCTGTGGCTAAGGTTTTATATTATATTACATAGTAGCAAACTATTCAAGGGAAACGGTAGGAGAACACCAGTCAGTCTTTTTTGGTGGTAATGCCATTGAATTGTAGCTTATGTGAAACGTTGGTACTTTCAACACAGCGCCATCTGTTAGAATTGTGACTATCAAATAATTTGCAATAAAATAATATTGCGGGTATAAATTAAGGTTTCAATTCATTTTAAGTAAACATTATATTATCTATGGTGAGCGCGCTGCGCGCGCAATGCGCTGGTTCCGAGCCAATAGACCAATAACAGACTTTTTCCATTTTGGCGCTATTTCGTACATACGAATTTGAGTAATATAGTCTAGTCGACAAGTTGAAAATGGAACAAAATAGAGATACATCTCTTAAAATTATGTGCGATAGCTCATTGGATCCGGAATGACGTCTAGAAAAATGTGCTAAAAGCGTGTATTAGCACATAAAAAATTGCAAAAGTTATAGACAATTAAAGATGAAAAAAAAATGGCATTTAGTTTTTTGCCAATATTTAATAAACTATTAATATTTAAGAAATTTCAAATAAAGACTGAAAGAGGAGGAAATTTCCAATAAAAAACTTCTAACTCCCGGAACTCTATCTCCATTATTTATAATTTTAATTTAACGCTGAATATAGGTCTGCGGGTGACATTTTTAGGATTCGCGCGTGGCGTCAAAAGCGACTACGGCACATTAATTAATTTATTTATTAAATTTGAAAAAATTATGGTGTGTTCTGAACACTATAATTAATTTATTCCCGTTGAAAATTTTACTTAAAGTTAATTTTTCAACAAGTTAAATAATTGTTAACTAACGAAATTTTCTCGAACGACCGTCTTAATTGTAAGTGAAAAAAAAATGTTTAAATAATGGTCGTAAAAATATTTCGCTTCGTAGAGCCTTTCTTACATACATACTTAACAAGATCGTGCCATAAAAGTTAAAAAATATTTATACTTTGTTTATAACAATTTTTTTACTTAAACAAAAACTTAAAAATCCATGTAATGTTGTTAAAAATATTTTTTTTTCTAAATCATCATATAATCGTTTTTTTATTAATACAAGATATTTATTGATTTGCAAAAAAAAAATTCCCGCCATTTGTTGATAAATTTTTTTTAAACAAATTGATTAAATCAATATTTTTTTTAAATTTTAACACAACTTTATTACATTAAAAATTTTATGATTTTAAAAAAAAAAATTTTCCTTAATAATAATTTTTAATTGTTTATAATCGTTTTTTTTTAATTTTCTATTGTTTAAATAATTAGTTAAGAAATTTTTTTTTCTAAAAATCATAATTGACAGTCCTCTATAAAGTAACAGAATTATATATAAATTACGCGTCACGTTGTTTGTCCGCTATGGACTCCTAAACTACTTAACCGATTTCAAACAAATTTGCACACCGTGTGCAGTTTGATCTAACTTAAAAGATAGGATAGCTTACATCTTAATTTATACCCGCAATATTATTTTATTGCAAATTATTTGTTTATTATTTGATAGTCACAATTCTAACAGATGGCGCTGTGTTGAAAGTACCAACGTTTCACATAAGCTACTATTCAATGGCATTACCACCAAAAAAGCCCCCATGACTGGTGTTCTCATACCGTTGCCCTTGAATTTGTCGACATTTTCAACTTGTCGACTAGACTAATATTATGTTGGATAAAACTTTAGTAGCAAAAATGTCAAGCAACACCGACGATACCGATGAAAATTGACATTCTAGGAACAGCTACGAAACTGACGAATAGTCTTTTGCCAGAAAAATCAAGAAAAGCGTACGACAAATGTAAATAAAGTACACTTTGAATCATTGTTCGTTTCTTATGGTCTCCTAAAAATTTATATTAGGTCGAGTAAAAAGTTTTTGAGTTTTGAACCTGTACATTCATAATTGCATCAAAATTTTTTTTAATTTCGAACACAGAATTTAAAGAAACAAAACACAATTTGGAGCCTGCTCATTGATATCAAACAATCGAATACTAAGAAAACTTGATTTTTTGTTTATTGGATTTAATTCTTGAAAGTGTATTTATTGTCTTTGGTTTTGCAACAAACATTACTTATTCTTAACATTAGATGAGGTTCTATCAATAATCTATGGATACTTCGCTGAAGTCGCCGCCCGCTGTGGCACTTATCGGGCCGGACACAGCCAAGAAATGTATATCAACTTAATTTAAGTCGATCTGCGTCCGAAACATTTATCGGAGATACCTAGAGACTGGCGGTTTTTTCGTGGGAAGGCACGATTTCGGGTCACAACTGAAAGGCAGGATCGTTCATCGTGACGACCAGTTGAGAAATGTCCCTTACTCCATTGAGATACAAACCAACTTCGCGACTTCCATGGAGTAAATTTGAGCGCTCGAACTGTTCGGAGAAGATTAAAGAACGCGATATGGTACCACACAAGCCAGCTAATGGACCAAAACTAACGAGAGCCCACCGAATAGCCCCTTATTTCGCGCGTCACATAAATTAGACTCAGCAGCATTGGAACGGTGTACTCTTTTCTGATGAGTCTAAAATTGCGTTACATGGCAATGATGGAAGGAAGAAGGTCTACCGACGTAGGAGAGCGTTTTGCACAATGCTGCTTTGAAGAGAGGGTTGCTTATGGCGTGGCTCATGGACTGTTGGGGCGGTATATCCGCGAGCAGAAAACTCAACTTGGGGAAGGTGCACATTATGCTGAAAAGTACATTTAGAGTGCTTAGAACCTCACGTGATGCCATACGCGGACTATGTGGGCCCAAATTTCCTTTTTATGCATGATAATGTAAGAGCCCATACGGCCGGCATCGTCAGAGAATATCTTGGATGTGAACATCGCATTATGATGGCCAGCCAGAAGCCCAGATATGAACCCCATTGAGCACATGTGGGATGAGCTAAAAAGACTGTTAGGACTCGTCAGCCAGTTGCCAGACGATGCAGGAATTGAAAACTGCCATAGAAGAGGAATGAGAATGATCCTCAAAATTTATAGAGCGGTTGATAAACTCTATGCCTAATCGTATGAGAGCTGTCGTAGATGCCCATGGAGGCAACACGCGTCATTAAATTAAACCTTTATTTGATAAAACACGTTTTTTATTCAAAAATCAATGACTTCATCAAGGCGCATACCCGACTTGTTAGGCGTATCTCCATGTGGTGTGGTATTCTAAATTCAAATTTAAAACAATACGATCGAAAAAGATGGTAAAATGTATCAGGTTCAAAACTGCATAAAACTTTTTACTCGACCTAATATAAATTTTTAGGTAGGACCAAAAGAAACTGAAATGCTAGGTGGGCCAATAGATGTTCCAGAAGTATAGTTTATGCAACTGCATAGAATTAGGTATTAAAACACTCGTGTAATCTAAAAAAAAATAAAAAAAAAATAGTAAAATTATTTTCAAAACTACTCATGTTTTAATACCCTCTACTATATGACAATTGGGCTTTTGAAAAAAAAAATTATTGATTTTTTTAATGTATTTTAAAACTTTATTGTTAATAATATTGATATTTAATGCAAAAAACTTAAAAAAAAAATGTTTTTTCAATTAATTATAAACAATTAAAAATTGATGAAATTTTAATAAAAATCACGTGACTATAAACACGCCATGAATGATCACCATAGTTTTGACGTCATAATGTTAAAGCTATTTAATAACAGTACAGCGTTTACGGCTATTAATATATATAGTATATTTAATATATTAAATATTAATATTAATTAACAAAATTAAATAGATCAAAACACTGTATTTATTATTTTTCTATCAACTGCAACGAGTGAAAACTAACATTATGACGTCACACGCGCTCGGGTTTGTTCGGCGTGTTTTCGGTACTGGATTCATATATTAATTTTTATTTTGAAATAACTTTTGAATTATTGCATTGAAAAAAAATAAAACAAAAATATTTTTGTTATAAAACTTATATAGGTATGATCTTTCCATTTATCAAAAAAAAAATTTTTTTTTTTCAAAAACCCAATTGCATAAACTACTATTATAAAATAAAAATAACGTAGAAGAAGATCGAATACCTATATTATCATTTTGAGCTGGTGACACTAGTATAGTGAATGTAGCAAGTACGGTATCTCACATATATATCTGTCAAAACATTATAGAAGACAAAACACAAAATCTAATTAAAGTTATTTATCGTAGAAAATCAAAATAATATTACTTATTACTGATCAGTTGTGTATAAACCAGTGGCGCTACAACCATTTTAGGTCAGGGCCTAAGATTTCTGAATCTGTTTCATGATCATTTGTCAATCTATTAGGCCTGACACACGACACACTTTTTAGGTCTGAGGCCAGGTTCCTCATGATGTTTTCCTTTGTACGAGCAAATGTTAAATTCAAATTCAAAAATCATTTATTCACGTAGGTAACTCAATATACACTTGTGATTCGTCAGTGAAGAAATATATTAATGCTTCTAATTTTACATTTACTGCCAGTTCTCAAATCAAGGGCGTAGAACGGAAGAGAAGAACTGGCAATAAACTCTCCGCCACTCTTTTTAATCGCCATGGTTTTTTTTACACAACGTCTGTAAGGAGCTGCAACCATTACACCATGTTCCACATGACGTCTTAAGTAATTAATAATAATAACATAAATTAAAAACAAAGACTAATTGTCCTTGATAAATCAGCAGGAGGCATGGTGAAATAGGAGCATTCACTTACTTAATAAATTCGTAAAATTTTGTATTTAATGAAAATGTTTATTCAATAAATAGTCATCGTTATCTGGGAAAAAATCGTAATATTTTATTTTATCATTATAACATATTTAGTTCCTATCACAATCTGTTTTATTCATTACTTTTACAAAATAATGTCTAAGTTTCACATCTGCCAGGCGTCCCGTGACGGCTCACATTTTTTAAATTATGTTTCTCTTTCCAGCCTTCCCGAGTCCAACGACATACCAACTAATAATCAAGAAACAAAAGCAATTGATCTAACGCATGATACCGATGTAAATTATCTTCCAAACATCGCAAATCTCTCTGAAGAAGAGAGAAGAGATATTGAAATACGTTCAAGAGATAGATATATACCATTAAATGAAAGTAATGACAATGATGGAAAGAGTACCAAAGAGCCTAAAGAATTTGAACCTAATGTAGAAAGTGAAGTTAGATTAAATAAAATTAAAGAGAATTTAAATAAAGTTGAAAATGAATTTCAGAATTTTAGAGGCGATAGAAAAACGCGTGATACTTTTTACATAAAAACAGATGAAATAGATAATATACAAGAATCAATAGATAATAGGGTTAAAAGACAAATAATGTCGCAAATGGCTGATTTCTCGTCTGTGAAGAGAGTGGAGCCGATGGTATTTTTGGATGGTATACGTGTGGAGGAGGCTGAGAAGGATCCGAAGATTTTGGATGATGGCGTGCCCAGTGTGCTGGCTGAAACAAAGGTTACATTGCGGTGAGTTTTATTTGATAATTTTTAGATTTATCAGATCGCCTGATCTGATTTTTAATTCCGTAGAATTCTGACAGCTGTCATTTGACATGTCAGAGAAAACAAACCTTTTTGGCCAGGCACATTTTTCAATTTCAATACGAGTCAACATCTGAGTCTATACATGCATGTTATTTGTTAGTGAATGTATCCATTTTATTAAGTGCGGTGCTCATATTAAAAGTGGTTTATTATGTACACCACAAACAGTAAAAAAAGCACAAGTATAGATAGCATTTTTTAAAGGTTTACTAAACCTGGAATTAGTAGGTGATGTCAGCTAAAGAATAAAATAAAGTAATTAAAGATAATTAGTAAGTAAATATTTGATATTGACCAAAATCTGCCTATAGGTGATTTTAATTTGTAAAAATGTTTTATAAACCTTGTACATACCCTAAATATATAAATATAGGAATAAACTGAAAATAAAATAGTCTTATGAAAAATAATAAAATAATCAATATAAACTTGTTATATCAGACTATGCCATCAATGCCACATCTAGAAAAAAATTAAATTCTAGAAAAAATTAAATTCTAACATTCGAGTTTCGCTTGGTTGACTGACCAAGTTTTTTATGTCTACCCACATTTTTGGTGCTGTTCTGTTTTCTTATTTTATATATGTACCTACATCTGTGCGCTCTAATTTTTAATCTTAGTTTTAAATATGTGTTTCTCAGTAAGTGAATTTTCAATTCTTATGAGAAATAAAGTTATTCTTAAACCGTAAATATTTGATTTACCTTTTTGTAGTTAAATCAAATTTGTCCCTTTTTTCGGTGAACTTTTTTAGTAGCAACACTTATGAAATTTAATAATTCTACGGAATGAATATACGACTTTTAAACACTAGACATATTCATCGCAACTCTTAAAAAAATGAGTTAAGTAAAGAATAATTGGCTATTTGATATTATTTTAAAACCCATTTTAGATGATTTATTATTGACTTGATAGCCTATACAAATTGTTATTTTATTAGCCAATAGTTCAGGCTCTGTAAATTCTAACTAAACATTAATAAAACAATATTTACTGGCATGGGACGTCATTGTGATTCGACATATCTGTGACCGGTTTGTATCACGTGACTGACGTATTAATTTTTGAAGTTATATCTTCTTTTGGCGCGTTAGGGAAAAATGGTGAGGGTAAATTTTTACGTACGCGCGCACACCGTCACAAAAAACCGACACCCTGAAGTTATAGCTATAGTCAACATTTTAGTTTTTTCTATTGTTAGTGTTGACTGTTGTTCTACAAATGTTGAATAAAATTTTTGTAAAGATTTTTATCTTTCCAAAGAAGTATAACTTATTAATCATCAATTTTTTTCTGAAATGGATAAAATGTATTTTGTCTTGCGATAAAATATATCGTGTAAATTTCAAAATCATGTTCTATATACATTTTCGTCATAAAATGAATTCAAAGTGTCAAAAATTGGCTATGTTTGGATTTTTTTCTATCGTGCGAAGTTATTTAAATCGTGTATCGATCTTTCAAAATGGATACATATACTCAACTCCACCGTATATTTTTTCCATTCGCCCTACTTCAAGAAACAATGACGACAAATGGAAAGAAACAATGTACTTTTTTGAAGTTTGGCGACCAGATAGGTCCTTAAGGAGGATTACAAGAGTTTCACAAGACCTAACCTAAGTTTTAATGTGATGTGAATTTCACAGGCTCTTCGGCCAAGGCCTGACGCCCAGAACGGTGATAGCTTTCACTCATGATGCCCTGGAGTATGGACAGCCGTGTAAATTTCTTCTCAAAGGAGAGTATGTGGTGAGTATATTAATAATAAGCACGATCCACAGCTGCCCTTGAAGTATTTCTGATCCAATTCGACTTAGGGTCCTACAAGAAAAGAGCGTACCAATTCTTACCCTCACTTGCGAGCCCTCTGCCAATGTCCATGGGCGACTGTATCACTCAACATCAGGTGAGCCTCCTGCCCATTTGCGCTCTGTTCTATTAGAAATATTTTATTTACAATCTAGTATTTTAATTACAATTCACGAGCAGTATTCAGCGTGCCACTCTCTTCCAATAAGGTCGCAGGTTCGAACCTCGGCTGTACACGAACAGACATAACATTCGAAAACCGCCTTAGACCCAAAAATTTTATAATATGTCAGGTACAGAAGGAACCTACTTACTTATTAGAGTAATGAAACGTAATCGCAGGCATAGACCTGTGTACCAATTGTTAAGAGGCTGACAACGCATTCGCGATCCGTCTGCGATTGAGAGTGACCATGGGCATCACTTAAGATCTAGTGAGCGTCTTGCGTGTTTGCCCCCTGTTCTATAAAATAAACACATGCATTTGGAACGGCTCTCGGTTCATCATTTTGGACCTATAAAGTCGACGGCGTGTATCAGACACAGAAGGCTGATCACCTGCTTGCCTATTAAGAGCGAGTGATCACGTCAGGGGTCGTTCAAGTATTACGTAAGCACCATAGGGGGGAGGGCGGTCTTTGATTTTCATTTGGTGATTACGTCAACAGTAATTATTTACTTTTTGACACATATTACCCCAACATTGTCTATGCTTGAAAACGAAATGCATTTCCGAGGATTCCTACTAAAATTTAATACGTTTATGTTATATTATTTTTGAGAGCTTTGCTTACTTTTGGTGACAAGAGAAGGGGGGGGAATTATAGCAGTAAATCTGCTTACGTAAGACTTGAACTGAAGAAGAAAATCTGAGGCACAGACCTAACTGTCTTACCCTTAAGTTCTGGTATACTTCTGTTTATACAATAAACTCAACCCAAATTCTAGGCAAAAGAAGACTCCGTCACACCGACATCAGCGCTCTTCGAATTCTGGGCTCCATCACCAATTATAAGCTCGAAACTCTACATCTGCACCAAAAACCTCAAACCGGGCATCCTGCCCTCAGAAGACGAAGAGAAATACCTTCATCAGGGCACAGAGGGTTGGAAGATTTTGGCCACACATAATAAGCTGATGCCGTTGTGGGTAGCTTTGATATTAATTCTGGCCTGTCTGACGTTTTCGGCGCTATTCTCTGGTCTGAATTTGGGCCTGATGTCACTGGATCGGACGGAGTTGAAGATTATTTCTAATACAGGTAAATTTATTTATCTATGTATTTATAGCCACACATAGGAGAGAAGAGAAGAGAAGTAAGTAAGAAGTAGACTTGGGGTGAAATTGGCTGTGCCAAAAATCAATCTGGAACTGTTTAGAAAAAACACATTTTGTATGCCAATTAAGGTTTACAATAAATTACCAAAAGAATTAAAAAATCTTCCGACTAGTCTTTAAATAGCGACTTGGTGTATTACTTTTGGAAAAAATGTATTATTTAATAAATTATTATTTGCGTGAGACACTGTAGTTGATATGTATGATACAAATAATATAAGAAATGACCAATTCATGTGACTAATAATGTAAAATATAAAATTCCTTTAAAGACTAATTTGCGCGCCATTGTGTGTGGCAGAATATGCGAACTTACGATTGTACCACCTTACACATTTTTGTCCCATATTCTTGCAATAAATTATTATTATTATTATTATTATTGTTATTAGGTGCGGACGGACGAACATAATGTATATGTCACCGGAATATAACAAAATCCGCAAGTTTATAAATTTCCCAGGAAATTAATCTAAAATAAAATTTAAAGTAAACTTACGGAAATAGTATTAGACCGAGGAATTGTAAATAGTTGTGTTTGCCTTGTATTGTATGAAGAAGGCAAACGCCTTTATAACGCTTCTTTCCATTGCTTTCCGGGATTTTACTTGCGGTTTTTATTACTAGTGTTTTATTTTTCCAAATATTTATAGTTACAGTATTACCAAGGTACGGAGCAGAAAAGCAAGTACCTACGCACATGCCATAATGCGAGTATGTTCTCCGTGCGTGACGTACTACGTGCACTAGTGCTTGGGCTTCGTAATTAAAAAGTGAATTCTTATACTAATAGCGATACCAGTGTTTTATTTTATCCACATATTTATTGTTACAATATTACCAAGGTACGGATCAGGAAAGGAAGTACGCACGTGCCATAATGCCATTACGTTCTCCGGGCGTGACGTACTGATACATCCTACTGATAGAGCTCGCGTTTTTACTGCGTAGTTAAAAAGTGAATTCACACATGAATAGCGATATCAGTATTTTATTTTACCCACATATTTATCGTTACAATATTACCTAGGTACGGATCAGGAAAGGAAGTACGCACGTGCCATAATGCCAGTACGTGATCATGGAAACTATCTCCTATGCAGTATTCTACTGGGGAACGTGGCTGTCAATTCTACATTCACGATATTATTAGACGAGTTGACCTCTGGATTGTTCGCGGTGATATTTTCGACATTGTCGATCGTTTTGCTTGGTGAGATAACGCCACAAGCGATATGCTCCCGACATGGGCTGATGATTGGTGCACGGAGTATTATGGTCACTAAGGTAAGTTGTGTTGGCCTAGTAGCTTCAGCGTGCGACTCTCATCTCACTGAGGTCGTAGGTTCGATCCCCGGCTGTACACAAATGGACTTTCTATGTGCGCATTCAACATTCGCTCGTAGGTCGTTTACGAAGGAAAACATCGTGACGAAACCGGCTTGCTTTAGACACAAAAAAATTTAATATATTTTTTTTACTTAGCCTAAGGTAGGCTACAGTACATACCAACATATGGAACATTTTGCTATACTACCCCATATGTTTGTTTTTCCGGAATAAAAATCTAAGTACTAAATAAAATATCATTTTTTTTTAATGTTTAAATTTACCTCTTAATAAAAACCATCCTCAGAGATCAAGCAATAAAAAAAACCCGAATTGGTCCGGCCGTCTTCGAGTTTTGGGCTTAGAAATATATTTTGGGATTATTTTATTTATATAGATGTTTTTGATGATTGTAGCTTATTTTAATGTCTGTTTCATGGATGATTCTAGTACCAAAACACCGTACAATACCCAGGATCTCCAGGTTATAAAGCAGTCCAGTTCACGGTATATCAGAAGTGAAAAAGCAAGTCCAGTACAGTTCATTACTCTGATATCAATGACACATGATAGCATAGGACTGTCTTTATGTGATCAGACAAAAAGCATAAACCAATCAACCAACTTTAGGGTCAAAATGAGGGTACCTAATTATTTAATAGTTGAGGGTAGTACATTTTTTTCAGGCGGTTATGGCGCTCACGGCTCCCCTGGCATTCCCCGTCAGTAAATTACTGGATTATTTCCTTGGTGAAGAAATTGGGAGTGTTTATAATAGGGAGAGATTGAAGGAGCTGGTGAAGGTAAGTTTTAGTCGTTTTGTCATTCGTAGAAGATGAGAACTTGGAGAAACTGATCGTGGTAACACAGAGGGTCACATGGCCGTTCATCAACCAGATGGACCGATCAAGTCACTTATCTTACTCAAAGCTGTAAAAAAAGGCGCTGGACAGAAACCGGTGGAAATTGATAGTCCACTCCAAATGTTACAGACCATGGCGCTCGGACATGAGCTATCGACTGAAGAAATAGAGAGATATAGTCGTCGTCTGCTATTGCTTATTAATATAATTTTAGTTTATATTACAAGTGTAATCAGATGAGGGTAGATGAAATAATCACTTTATATAAAAATTTGATTTAATATTTAATTCGAAAATAAAGTGCAGAATGCAGGCAATAATAAGCTTTTGTAGCTTGCGAGTGTAGAATGTATATCATATTTAATTTAATATATAAAATATGATAAACTGAAAGTGTACAAGACAGGGGATTCCCCGAAATGTCCAGCAAAGAAAGGAATCATTCAAAAACAATCAATATTTCACTAGTCTAGCTCATAGACATAGGTCGTATGTGTGTATTAATATTAAATTTTGTATGTTTGTAGGTAACAACGGATGTAAACGACTTGGACAAAGATGAGGTGAATATCATATCTGGTGCGCTGGAGTTACGAAAGAAGACTGTTTCGAGTGTAATGACGAAAATGGAGGATGTCTTCATGCTGCCGATAACTTCTATATTGGACTTTGAAACTATGTCCGAGATTATTAAGTCTGGTAAGTTAAGCGCAGAGAGCGTGTAAAGATGCCGGCAAACATCTTGAACAAATGTCCTTGCCTGCGCAGAAGCGATTTTTAGGTATTACTGGGAGGGGGGTGGCGGGAGAGTCGAGTAGAGATGTGTCGATCGCGTGATTGGTAAATCAGTTGGTGTTTGTGTGTGTGTATGTGTACGATGCGCAAACTTTACCCCACTCCCTTGGTTAGTGCTCAAGAAGTTTGCCCGTATCTGTAAGATTCAGAAACTAATTTCTCGTGAAACGAAAGTCTCGTTAAACGGAAGTATCGTAAACCAAAAGTCTCGTTAAATTGAAGTATCGTGAAACAAAAGTAATAATAATAATCTTTATTTTCTTCTCTCACATATACATACAAGGTTTTTATGATTAAACTAAGATGATAACATTAGGAAGTGTATGTGAGAGACTGGTCTCTGTAACAGGAGACCTGAGTGACAGATAGCCAGCCTCTCCACACCGGACCGGAACACGTACAATCATGTCATTGTTATAAGATACAATAGAAGAAAATAAGTATTAAGTGCTAAAAGAAAACATTGCAAACGGAGTCTTAAAAATAAATGTTGTGTGTGTTTGTGTGTGTGTGTGTGTGTGTGTCTGTCTAAGTGTGTGTGGTGTGCGTGGGTGTGTGTATATGTGTGGGGGAGTGGGTGTGTTACAGAATAACAGTTATTAAGAAAAAGTATTTCTGAACAATAATATCCATAAACGAAAGCCTCGTTAAGCCCTACAGTACCACTGTAACCTGTGTTAGTGAAAATAATTAATTAATTGTCATTAAAATATTAAAAGTGTCTAAAATTAATGCAAATTATATATATTTTTAATTTATTTCTTCCATAATAAAAACACGTGGCATTTTAATTTACAATTCGTCATTAGAGATTTCAATAAATTATTTTGCATAAAATATAAAATACTAATATTTCATAAGTTTTCTTTACGAAATTTTCTTTTAAAAATATAATTTCTATAAGCTAATTCACCCTTCTCACTCTCTCAATCGCTCTCTCCCTTTTCTTCGACACAAACGCTGCTCATCTTCGTGACGTTCCGTAAAAATTTTGACCCTCATACGCCTAAAGAAGTTTCACTTCATATTGAAACCGGTACTGAACGCTAATAGAACATATTGCGTTGCTATTCTATTAATAGAAATATGGAGACATTCCAACTCTTGCCCTAGTGTTTACCATCAGACACTTCTAATACAGTTTTGAAATGAAGGTCGTTTTTACTACTCTTAGGGGCCACGTTTGCGAAGGAGAGACTGGGAGGACACTCTTTAGAGTCAAATGTGTCAGGCACAAGGATAATGAACTTGCCTTTAAGAATAATGATCACGAAATATACTGTGGGGTCATAAGGCCGGTTTTAAATAAATATTTTCTATTCAGGGATAAACGTTATTTGAGAAATATTTATTTTTATTTTTATTCAATTCAATTCAATTCAAAAATCATTTATTCACGTAGGTAACACAATGTACACTTGTGATTCGTCATTAAAGAAATACATATTAATGCTTCTAATTTTACATTTACTGCCAGTTCTCAAATCAAGGGCGTAGAACGGAAGAGAAGAACTGGCAATAAACTCTCCGCCACTCTTTTTAATCGCCATGTTTTTTTTTTACACAACGTTTGTAAGAAGCTGCAACCGTTACACCATGTTCCACATGACATCTTAAGTAATTAATAATAATAACATAAATTAAAATCAAAGACTTGTCCTCTATCAGCAGGAGGCATGGTGAAATAGAATTTAGGCTGGTGATTACGTCAACAGTAGCTATTTATTTTTTTACATATATTACCTTCACAGTGTCTTTGGTTGAAACCGAAATGCACTTACGAGGATTCCTACAAAAAATTAATACGTTTATGTACTATTATTTTTGAGAGCTTTGCTTACTTTTGCTGACAAGAGGAGGGGGGGGGATAAATTGCAGTTAATCTGCTTACGTAATGCTGGAACGGCCCCTTAATATATACTTAATATATAAAACTTCCCTGAACTTCCACAAATATTTCAAGATCATAAATAGTAGATTTGGCAAGCCATTCTCGAGTTTTAGCGAGACAAGCGAACAGCAATTAATTTTTATATACTAGCTGACCAAACAAACGTTGTTTTGCCATGTCTATTATTTCTAGGAAACATTTTTTAGTATAAAAATAACTATCAATAATAAAAATAAGAGTTGATCGTAGAGGGTAGATGAAAATTAAGGGTTGTATGTATTTTTGTATGTTGTATCATAAAAAATAAAAAAATAAATTTTGGGGTTTACACCCCTTATCATTTAGGAGTTTGAAAGATAGTATCCGATTCTCAGACTTACTGAATATGCATAAAAAATTTCATAAGAATCGGTTGAGCCGTTTCGGAGGAGTATGGGAACGAACATTGTGACACCAGAATTTTATATATTAGATAAGGCACACTACAATCATTTTGTAATTTAGCATTAAAAATATATAGCCATTAATTTTCACCTTCCATTTTATTAGCACTGTAATCTTAATATAGCAAAACGTTCCCGGATAAATTTTAGTAGAGCAACAGCAGCGTATTTGGAATAGTAGTTTGTTTTTGGAGAATTAATTTAAGGAGAAACGGGATAGCTCAATAAAAACTACATAAAATTTTTGCTTATTATTAAACTTTAATAATGAGAATAACCAAATGAATAAACCAAACAAAAACTAAAAACTATCAAACAAAAAAAGTGCGTACAAAGTACACGTCAGAATTGAAACTTCTTTGGCAAACTAATTTTTAAGTCTTGATCATATTTATACAAAACTTTCTACGATTACTAAGATAACTAAGATTTCCGAGACTTAGAGGGAGGGAAAAAGGAAGATATGTGAGGAATTGAATGAATTTAATTGGCATTAAAATATTAAGTGTCGAAAATTCATACAAATAATAAATTTAATTTTTTAAATTTATTTCTTCGAAAAAAAAAAAAACGTTTTTTTACTGTTCGTCATTTTGAATTTCAATAAATTATTTTGTAAAATTATAAAATATTACTTATGATAAATTCTCTTTAATTTTAGTTCTAAAAATAGAGTTTCTATACGGTAATTCGCCCTTCTCACTCTCTCAATCGCTCTCTCCCTTTTCTTCGACAAAAACGCTGCATATCTTCGTAACGTATCCGTAAAATTAAAAAAAAAACATCTACCCTCATGCGCCTAAAGAAATTTCGCTTCAATAATATAAGTTTTAAAGCTGGCATCTTGCTTCCTTAAGGTTGGCAGCTGATTTGTCAAAATGGCGTCCTGTTTGGAATACTCGGTGGCTTCGTGTGCCTTATGGCGTTATGTTTATGGCATAAAACCCCAGATATCTTTTTTTTTTTTATTACAATTCACACCAATTGACCTAGTCCCATGCTAAGCTGGTGAAGCTTGTGTTATGGGTACTAGGCAACGGATATACATACATATTATAGATAGATAGACATATAAATACACATTTAAACGCCCAAGACCAAATGCTCATCACATCGATGTTCGTCTCAGCCGGGGATCGAACCCGGGACCCATGGATTCGCAGTCAGGGGTACTAACCACTAGACCAATGAGTCGTCTATTATATCGAAGTATCCCAAATGCTGAAATTCCTCCATATACTTTGTCTTCCAGGCTACTCCCGTATCCCGGTATATGAAGGTCATCGCGGTAACATAGTGACGGTGCTCTTCATAAAGGACCTGGCTTTCGTGGACCCAGATGATAACACGCCGTTGCGGACCCTCTGCCAGTACTACCAGAACTCATGCAATTTCGTCTTCGAAGACGTCACACTGGATATTATGTTCAAGCAGTTTAAGGAAGGTAAGATTTTGGAAATTAAGAACAAAAGAACTTGAGCTGTAGTAGCAGCCAGCTCATGGCGTCGAAACACGGCAGCCAACGGACTTTTCTGTTTATTTATATGTCACCGTAAAATTGTAAACACCGTTAGATTGTAATCTATCTCGCGAGATTATAAACTGTCGAAAGATTGTGAACCTCAACGTACTGCTTACAATTTAACGTATTATTATTCGGTAGATTGTAATCTATCGAAGTGAAACCGTCAAATTACAATCTTAAAATTGTCAAATTGTTAACTGTCCGAAGGCTGTCCCTGATTGGTCGGCTTTATAGTAGACCGTTCTTTGTCCATAGAGTTAGGAATGAAACACGGGTATCAGTCAAATAAACTGAATGCACTTCAAGAATTGTGATATCCAGTATTAATTCATTACTTAGTAGGTAATCAATACTTCTTATATCCTTGTCAATGTCATAAAAACTTGGATTTTCTATTTGCAACGTTTACGTTTCGTCATCGCGTTTTAAACTTAGTATACGTAGCACAACGCCATCTGTTGGTGTATAAACTAAATAGTTGTATAAATAGATCGGTAGCGGGTTTTCGCGCAATTTATAAATATATATTTTTGTAAATTTACTCCTACAGCCTAATGGACAAAATCTATTGTTTTTTTTATAATTTTCTAGGACACAAGGGTCACATGGCGTTTGTTCACCGGATTAACAATGAAGGGGAGGGTCGATCCCTTTTATGAGACCATAGGTTTGGTTACACTCGAGGATGTCATAGAAGAGATGATACAATCCGAAATTGTTGATGAGACTGATGTGTTTCGTAAGTATGGTTTTACCCATTATCAGGGACATCCCAGGGCTGCGGGACTGTGGGCAGGAAGTGGGGGACTGTGGGCAGGAAGTGTGGGACTGTGGGCAGGAAGTGTGGGACTGTGGGCAGGAAGTGTGGGACTGTGGGCAGGAAGTGTAGGACTGAGGCTTTTTCGAAAGTCGAATAATCTAAGGTTTTTTCTTAATGAGCATAATACAGGCGACCTGATGTAAAGTGATATCCACCATGAACACACACAGCCAGTAGGTTCGCAAGTGCGTTGCCCACCTTTTAAGATTTGGAAGGTACACTCTGTTCTTGAATCCTAAGTCAAAATACTATTCATAGAGCGATCCCAACCGCCGGCGACCAGTCACTTTCTTATCTTGATCCCGTTGCGTAGGGATGTAGGTTCCCACTGCATCTTCTACCGCATTTATCATGGAGCGTGTTAAGACTTAAGAGGAGTTATTAGGATACGTGCAGCTGAGCTTCACTGAGAGACAAAATACAAAATTCCATCCGTGTTACGAGGTCTATCGTTCCACAACTGAGCGTTTTTTAGGCTTTTGCCAACCACTATGCCTGAAGTATTTCCCACAGCAATTCGACTTAGGGTCCTTCAAGAAGAGCGTACCAATTCTTCAGCGCCCTCGTGATATTTCTAGCGTTGTCCATTGACAGCGGCATCACTTAACATCAGATGCCACCAAAAAACTTTACAATATTAGTAAAGATTTATTACAATTCACGAGCAGTCAGTGTGACTCTCATTCCCAAGGTCGGAGGTTCGAATCGCGGTTGTACACGAATAGACATAACAAAACAGCCTTAGACCTAAAAATTTAAAATGATTGAGACACAAAAGGCTGATCACCTACTTATAAAATGTAAAGAAATCTTAAAGTGCGTGCACATTCTTAAAAAGCTGGCAATGTATTCTGGAGCCTTCTGGCATTCGGAGTGTCCATGGGTATTTAACATCCGGTGAGCCTTCTGCCAAACTGCCCCTGGTGTATTAAAACAATAACCAGTCAAGATTACAACTTCTTTCAAATAATTTTTGTGACAGTCTTGTTCAAATGTTGAAACAAATCCCAGCAAACTTGCAGGACTTCGCGGCGTTTGGGAGGGACAGAATGGGAGGATACGTATAATGACCACAGTTACTTGCCATTCCAGTTCCTCAACAGTATCGAAAATTATAAATCAAAAACTTATTTAAATCAAAATAATGGCATTATTAATTTAATGCTATTTCATTTGAGATTTCTATAACAGTTATTAAACTTGCATTAAAATTTATAGTTTCTAAATCGATACAGTTAATACTCTTAATACGAAATTTTAATTTCTAATTAATAGAATTTCTATACAGGTAATAGTCCACCTACAGTTTATTCACTCTATCTACAGTCGATACATTTACCTTTTATACATTTGGCTGCACATACTAATCGTGACAGTTTATAGACTTAAAGATTTTATCCAATTACGTGCTTCCTAGAGTTTCAGTCTTCATACAGTTTTACCCACGATAACTACAGTCTACAGTTAATGATCTTATTTTTTTCGACAATCGATACAGTTCAAGCGACTTCGATACATATTATCCAGTTACAAGTTGGTACAGTTAATTGGTCATAATACATTTTCGCGGCAGTTCGCGGAGACGATACGATCATCGGATGAATACAGTTTTTTCACCACAGTCGATTACTGTTGACCACCTTCATAGTTCCTTCAGCACTACAGTCGATGTAGACATATTTTTCTGATGTATAGATCTATCTAAATCTAAAATAATCATTCGACTTGATTCAATGTACAGTTACTAGAGTCGATACCAGTTACATAATCTTCATATAGTTTTCCGGTTTCAATAGATGATACAGTTAATAGTCATAATACATTTTATCCAGTTACTACAGTCGATACAGTTAATAGACTTAATAGAGTTTTTCAATTCACTGCATTCGTAACAGTTAATAGTCTTGATAAAGTTTATCCGGTTACTACAGTCGATACAGTTAATAGACTTAATACAGTTTATTCAGTTACTACAGTCGATACAGTTGATAGACTTAATTCAGTTTATTCAGTTACTATATTCGATATAGTTAATAGTCTTAATACAGTTTAATTATAATTATTAAAAGGTGTGGACGCTTTCCGGCCTGATACAGTCTCTGAAACGGTTTTAAGAAGACTTTTGAAGCAAGATGTGATACAGCATATTAAAGTGAAAGGCAAGACAAAGAAAGATTCGTCGACATATGTCTTTCAACAAGGAAAACCGGTAAGAATATTTCTTAGTACAAGCAGCCAATGTTTTTGTGTTAATTATAATGGGTGTAGCTATCACTCCACGGTTGTATGGGCTGAGGCGCAAACTAGCTGCTGTGGTCTCTTGCAAAATGACCAGCGATGTGGAACAGTCTGCTCCTCAGCATTATGCTGAGCCAGTTCTCTGATTTTGAGCGAAGTCCTGCTCCTCGCGTAATGGAGCCAGACGGTCAATTACAAACAGCACGCTCTCATTCTCACAGCTTAAAACGATTCCTTCTTCAATTAAAGGAAAAATATTATCTCGGTCTCAATTTTATTTATTTATTTTTTTGTGTTTCTGTGTTTGGGTGTAAGTTAATGTTGTCTATGTTTAATAAGCATCGTTGTCAGACATCATTGCCTGACATTGTTTAGGAATCTTAAGGCAGTTACATATAGTTGGTTTATACAAATAGTTGGTGCACAGGAGAACCTATGAGCTCTGAGATGAGAGCCAAAAGGTGATTTTGTTATTGAGACTGATTTTTGTAGGTGGATTACTTCGTGCTAATCCTGGAAGGTCGCGTAGAGGTGACTGTGGGCCGAGAGAACTTGGTCTTCGAAGCTGGTCCCTTCACCTACTTCGGGGTTCAGGCGCTTACGCAGAATGTTGGTGTTGGTGAGCAAGCTGTAGAAACATTTTTGGGTCGAATGTTTGAGCTCCTTGTGAAGTCGCTTAACTTCAAAAGGAGCTTAAAAATTCTTATACCAATTCCTTTGATGAGGGGCGGTTCAAGTATTACGTAAGCAGATTTATTCCAATTCTTTCCCCCCCACCTCCTCTTGTCAGCAAAAGTAAGCAAAGCTCTCAAAAATAAGAAAGTAAGAAAAAATAATAAAATCGTAGACCCCCCTCCCCCTGTAGTACGTAATACTTGAACGGCTCCTAAAGTACCGTAACTTTTCAGCGGAATCCCCTACGCCATCACCCATGGGCTCCCTTCAGCATTTAGCCTCAGGCACCAGTCTCTCATAACGTACACGTTTTAATAACTTTTCAGCGGAGTCCCCTATGCCATCAGCAATGGGCTCCCTTCAGCATTAGCCTCAGGCACCAGTCTCTCATAACGTACACGTTTTAATAACTTTTCAGCGGAGTCCCCGACGCCATCAGCAATGGGCTCCCTTCAGAATATAAATATGGACTCCATGCTGCGTCACACGTTTTAATACGTCTCAGGATTACTCCCTTCGCGCATCACGGAGTTGTACTCCCCTGACTGCTTAAACTCGGTACCAGTCATCATATAACCCTGTATGCGTTATTTCTATTCAGGTCGAGTCCCCTTCAGTGCCAAAACCCAGTGGCACTACAACCTTTAGGATTATGGCCTCTAGGCATCTGTCTATTATTTCGTAGACGTTTTGTAAGTTTGTCAACGGAGTCCCTTTAAGCAAAATCTGTTTCCTTATGCTCTTTAGACAATTTGCCTATGTTGCCGACCTTTGAGAGATAAAGTTCTTTCGTGATATTCTTAGACAATTTGTATGTCTGCGGATATGTTGCCGACCTTTGAGGGAAAAAGTTCTTTCGGAAGTTCTTAGTCATTTGGCCATTTTCTCGGATATATTGCCACCTTTTAGGGTAAAATCTTTTCTGTGATGTTCCCTACGCCAATTTGAATTATTCAGCGAGTAGCCTCCGGACCAGTCTCCTCAACGAACAACTGTTTTAATAACTTTTTAGCCAATTTGCCTATGTCTCGGGATATGGCGCCGACCTTTCAGGATTAGACTGTCACGTAGTGTCTCTTAGGCAAGTTTTATAATTTATAGAGTCCCTTCGGCATCGCCATGGGCTCCTTTATAACATTGCCTCAGGCACCAGTCTCTCAGACGTACTAAAGTTTTATTACTTTTTTCGAAGGGAGTCCTCTTCTCTTAATGTAATGTAGAAATGTATAAAAGAAAAGGACTCCTGCTGCAAAGTCACAACCTTCGACCCGGATTACTCTAAAGTTCGCTGAAAAGGTCCCGGGACTTGTACTAGACAGGCTACTTTAAAATTGGTACGTAATTGCTTTAAACATATGGTTCTTGTTTGATGATTTGATATTTCTAAAGAGTAGCTTCGGTGCTTTACGACGTCCACTCGGCACTACAACCTCTGTCTTATGCCGATACATTTCGTTATTTCGATTTAATTTGGTATGTTTGAACATGTATCTTGTATACCTTTGAGGATAAAATCGGTTTGATTTTTATTTTCTTTGGCATGGGTGTCTTTGCGGGTAATTTTGCCTACCTTTGACGTATATAGTTCCTTCGTGATATATCTTAGAGATTACGTAATTGAGCTTATGTCTGGGATTTGTTGTCGACTTTTATGGCTGTAAATTAGGTTTTCGTAAGTTTTTAGACAGCTTGGATATTCGCCCCGAGTATGTATAGCCGACGTATGAGGCTCAATCTGTATTTCTTGATATTTCAATTGGACAATTTTAATTATTCTCTAGTATGTTTCCGACCTTGAAACCAGGTTTTATGACGTGTTAGCTCCATTTCGTATGGTCGCCGATCATCATGACGCCTTCCTTTCGACGATAAAAACTGTTTCGTAGTGTTCTTAGGCATTTGGTAAACATTATAGAGGTTGGGAACTGATCCCTAGTTAACGAGGCTGTAATTTAACCGTATAGACTATCTAAAGTTAGTAATTCTTTTTGGGTAAGGATACTCTTCTTTAATAAATCCCAGAGGCTCTTTAATCTCTGCCGTTTGCTAAATTTAAGAACTGCACCCAGCGGTCGGTTTTTAAAAAGGCTTACTATAAAGTCACGATTATCTAGTTGATACAAGGGCCCGTTGGACGTCGCAGTTCTAACAGGCTATGATTTTAATTAATTTGCGATGTGTTTTAAAATAAGTGTTGTTTGATGGTTTGAACTATTTTCAAAAGTCCGAGACTTGTTACACCGGTTTTATACTGTCTCGGCTAATCATTCTGTCTTATTACCCGATAGTGCAATCCCTACAAATTCAACCTTAATACGTGGAAATGTAATATAAGTTTTATGTTCCATAATAAACATTTTTTATTCTTATTTTTTTTGTAACGTTTGGATGAAATCCTACTATCCTTAAAGAATAAATCTTAGAGAAGAAAAGAGCCTTTTGACGATTGTTTTATTCGATTTTCTGTATAATTTACAAGTATTTAACTTAATTTTAAATTTATCCAGACGTTCTCTCTTGCTTTACTTCGTTCGTGGTCATACTTCGGTGAATTGTACGCTGTACTGAAATCCGTCTAACAGTTATTTTTAAACGCCTCGTTGGACCATCTCGTGATCACTCTAGCATAGCGGCATCTCCGATTTTGACGAGCATGTTGGCGATCATCATAACTAGCGTTTATTTTGGACGCGACTGAACATTGGATCTCGTAATTTGGTTAACAACTCCCCCTTTAGAATCTGTGACATATATTACCAAAAATTATATTTTACGTATTTTAGGATTTTTCACTCTGCAATTGTATTGTTGTCTCTTTCACTCAAATTGCGTTTACGCCGTGATGAAAAGAGACGTATGTGTCTTTTAGTGAAAACGGTAGAAATTTACTGTTTTTTTTAATTATTTTTAATTAATTGTATCCTTTCAGGAGTCTCTATCTGGCAGCTAAACGCGCTACCCTTATGGAAAAGGGTGCTTTGTCCAAGGGCGCAACCAATGAACAATTTGATACAGAAGTTGACAAAGTGAGTAACATATAAGGACAACATATATTCCGACTTTAATATGACATTATCAATGTAATACATCACTACATAGTATAAAACAAAGTCGCTTTCTCTGTCCCTATGTATGCTTAAATCTTTAAAACTACGCAACGGATTTTGATGCGGTTTTTAATAGATAGAGTGATTGAAGAGGAAGGTTTATATGTATAATAACATCCATTAAATAGTGGAGAAATACTGTTATTTTTGAGGTTTCTAATGTGATGTCGTAAATAATTACATTTTTTCCGCTTACATTGCGGACCCTACGATATTTATCAAAATAATGTTCTAAGTATTGTACACATTGAAAAGGTCTACAGAAAACTCCGCGATGGTATATGTCTATCTCTTATGGATATCCCACAATAAAATTTTTTTGTCATTTACTTTTTACGACAAATAATGGCTAATTTCCGAAGCGATTTTAACCAATACAGCATTAATCCTTATCCAATTAAATAACTTAAATACATTGTTGATTTAATATAGATCTATATGGCCCTTTACAGCATATGATTTAAATGAATATTTTCGAAGATATTACAGATTTAATAATTGCGGGAGCGTGCCTTTTAATAGCGCGTCCGCGGTTCTCCCTATATCACTTTGAATTTAGTATCAGCATTGCACCCGTGCGAAGCCGTGGCGGGTCGCTAGTTTTTCTATATAGCTGAAGTTATACATATATAGATTTTAATATCCGAGGTGGAAATTCATTTGCGCATCTTCTACCCCCGAAAGTAGCAGTGGCATATGGGGATCGACACACAGAATGTCTGGTATTTAAGTCCACAACCCAGGTAGTTCCTACCAGGCCCTGTTAGAGAGGCCCCGCTCTCGCTTTATACCAGGGAAGTTATACAATAGCTATACTCTGATTTTTCATTCCGTTGAGTTCTGTTTATTTATTTATTTGCTCAACGGTATTCCTACAGCTACTTACTAAACAATTTTCAAACAATTACACTATACACAAAAGCCAAAAACGGAATACACATTTAAACATACACAAAGCATAGTTTCACGTATATATTTATAATAAATTCTAAGTACTAAGATTCATTGTTCGTCATAATATATATAATATCTTCTGTGAGTGTGTATGTCACTGAACTTCTCTCAAACGACTGGACCGATTTTGATGAAATTTTTTGTGTGAGTTCAAGGGGATCTGGGAATGGTTTAGATTCACAAATCAGCCCGGCAGATAGCACTGCAGTCGGTACTTCATACTTTGCTTAATATCCTAATCGCTTTAAATATCATGCAGGACAACGTCTGTGGGGTCCACTAGTTTAATATAAAGGAAGAATAACAAAGCCATTATTAATAAAAGATACCAGAGTTTTTTTAATTATTTTTTAAACATGTTGCTACTAAAAAACTTCTCCACCGAAAAAGAGACAAATTTGACCCATTTGAGGGCAATAATATAAAATGCTACGTATTTTTACCTACAATAAGGTAAATCTTAATATTTACTTACTCAAGTGACCTAAAGAACTACAAATATTTCATTATCACGAACAATATATCGAATTAACTTTAATTACTTTATTTTATTCTTTAGCCGGTATCACTGTCTACTAATTCCAGGTTTATTATACATTTAAAAAAAAATATCTTTAATTGTGCGTTTTTTACTGTTTGTGATGAAAAGTGACGTAATTGTCACTCGCCGTAAAACCAATTTTAATGTGGAGCACAAATAAAATGTATGCAGATGTTCAGACGTACCCGGCCAAAAAGGTTTGTAATCTCTGACATGTCAAAAAATGATAGCTGTCAGAATTCTACGGAATTAAAAATCAGAGTGGGGGCCTGATAGCCTAGCGGTCTTATTAAGTGGCAGCTAGGTGAGGGGTACCGGGCTCGGTTCCCGGTTCGAGGGCAAGTTTTAATTTAATTTAAATTTGTTCTCGGCCTTTGGGAGGGTTGTGCGGTACCGGGCGAGAGCTTATACCGTGCATGAAGGACACGGTCGAATTTCTAAAGACAAGCACGAATTATAAAAAATCCTATACTTGACGCTGGCTAATGCACAAATCGTGCCAGAGCCATAAATAAAAAAAAAAAAAAATCAGACTATAACCTTTCCTATAGAAATCCCATAATTCCCAAACCCTATCCGTACTTTGATTTGCCTGTTTTTTAACCTCCAATTTTTATAAATGTAACTCGACCTATCCTATAAAAATACTTTAAGCACTCGGACAGTTCGTCTGTTCACCATTTATATTCATCTATTCCAACCTTTTCCATAGAAATCCCATAATTCCCAAATCCTTTCAGAACTTGGACAGAACCTGCAGTGACATGGCAACGGGGTCACAAAGTAATGTCTCACTTCATTCACGACACGATACGAAAAGCGAAAAGGTTTTTTTTATTGTTACTGATATTGTTTCTCGTACACGAATTTTTATGAGGCTTTAGATTCAAATTAAACATTCATAATTTCAAGAACACACGCTGACGGCAAGATGGCGTCGTACTGTGACGTAGCATGCTTGTAAACGTAAACAAATGTCAGGGTTTTTATGTGTTATTTATCATTCTTACGCGTTGGACTGACCAGATTAAACCGCCGTAAATAAATGATAAATGTTAAAAAAAAAGAAGTTAAATTAATTGTTAATTTAGATTTACTACTAGTTCGCAAGTCAAGGGCGTAGAGCGGGCAAGAACTGGCAAGAATCTCTCCGCTGCTCTTTTTAATCGCCAAGTTTTGAGTCATACAAATCGTCCATCACATCTACTCCTTCTAATATTAGTGCTACATAGCGATCACGACTGCTCTGTAAAGAGTGTACCGGATAAAAAAAGAAGAATCGTTCTTAAAGTACACGAATCTATATATGTCAGAGATTAGGTTATAATAGAACACGGTGTAATTTGTTTGATTACAATGGCAACACCACGCAATATCATGGACATCTTACAGGTTGTAAAGTGTCAATGTGTCAATTGTCAAAATCAAGCTGTCAGTAGTGCGTACAATTGGTCGTGAAGTGCTAGAGTTGCTTTCCGATCGGCGCCTGCGCCGGACGTGCGCACTGACTGTGTTAAAATATTAAGTAATAATGTCGGACGACGGTAGTGATACCAATTTTGTAATTATTAATCGCGTTGAATCTCCAACATATATTTCCATCAAAATCAGTCTGATGAATTAAAACTCCAATACAATATAGATTTAGACAGACATTATTTACAGCATGGTACCTCATCGACGATTCGACTCATCCGTGTCCGTCACGTGACTGAAAGAAAGACTTATTTTCGAAGTGAAACTTCTTAAGCGCATGAGGGTAAAATTTTTACGGATGTAACGCAATAATAATAATATTAGCGTCACGAAGATGTGCAGCGTTTTTGTCGAAGAAAAGGGAGAGGGCGATTGAGACCGATTGAGAGAGAGCCAGAAAGGGCGAAAGTAGCACGAAGCAAATAGAAATGGAGCGAGAGGCGGGAGAGAGTGAGAAAGATTGAGAGAGAGTTAGGGAGATCGAGAAAAATTAGATATACAAATACATGGAATTATCATCTATTGGGTCTTTTATCTTAGTAATAATTAATTTACAAAGAAGTTTCACTTCTGACATGTGTGCTTTGTACGCACGCACTATTTTTTTAATGTTTTGATTAGTTATATTACTCCATAACGCTTTTTAAATGTTTTACACAGATTACACTTTGTTTTAATACTGTCAAATAGCCATTAGGTCAGTCCAGAGCGAACAATGACACCCGTATCCATAACATATGACAACAGTTGCACTGTCCTGTTTTTGACATACGAGAGTCGCACTTAGCGCTCGATCTCGATTCTAAATCTAATTTCAATAATCTAATTCCTATCTCGAGTCACAATCTTGTCTTGAGCGCTGTCACATATGTCATATTTAATTCAGAACAAATTGTTTGACAGAATTTGAATCTAGATAAATTCCGTTGTAGTGTAGATGAGTAACAAAATTTAAAAAATTAAATACATTTGGTCCTCACACAAGGTCATTTTCAGCAGCAAGTGATGGGATTCAAACAATTATCCCAAAGCGGTGTCACGGATTCACCCACGTCCAGTGATAAACAATATATTGCTAAATATTTAGCTGATAAAATGGCGAGAAAACTATACTTACAACGCTCAGATAGTCAAGTAACCAATTCGCCAAAATATTGGACGAATAAAGATTCAGGGAGAACAGACAGTCAGACGGCAAATACCTCCAAACGTTGGAGAGAGTCTAGTAAACAAGATGAAGCAGAGTCAACTGTGAATGAGTCAATGAAATTAGATAAGTCCACAACGTCAATTGCCGAGAATAGAGATGGTCAAACGGCGAGTTCTTCTAAATATTGGACGAATAAAGATTCGGAGACGGCAAATACTTCTGAACATTGGAAAGAGTCTGATTCCAAAGATAAACCAGAGTCAACGGTGAATGAGTCAATGGAATTCGATAAGTCCACAATGTCTAAAACGTCAATTGGCGAGAAAAGAGATGGACCAGCGGCGAATTCTTCCAAATATTGGACGAATGCACAAACTCCCAGAATTTCTGAGTCTGGACTAAGGCGAAAGTTGTCGACGACTTCTTTGCCTGAGGACGAGAAAGATGGTTCCAATAATGAAGTTGATGCAAAGGGTTAGTTTAACTAACTTAATGCGTATTTAAAAAATTATAGCAACCTGAATAGAGAGATTATAAAATCTCTCTCAGGACAGGTAGGTAGTTCTTTAGTCAAGGTGAAGCCACTGTCTGATACACAGTTTAGATTTAAAACATTCTAACTGGAATGTGAGGCGAAATGGTGGGTACTTAAAATCTTTCGTCCAATCACAGAGATGCTCTTGTTCAATTTGGCCAATCACGATTGAGCGCATCATCGTTTCGTCTTTTGTTTTTTATCCCAAAATGAGAAATATAAAAATATAATAAAATATAGAAATATAATACTAATTATAGGGTAGGTTGTGGGGTTGGAAGAAATCTCTGGATTTACTGAATGGATTTTTAAATATCTTTTCCTAAGGCAAGTTATTTCTGCTATATTAGAAAAATTAAGTTTCGTGGTAGTCAGATTTGCAGTCGAAGAAAGAAACTGTCGAATGACAACGTTTTTTACCAATATCTAGGTTCTAGAAAAGTGTTTCCCAACGTGGAGTTGTGCCCCACAGAGGGGCAACTAAGGGGGGGCTAATTGGAAAATTCATAATAATTTGAATTTCAGTTTTTCTTTATGTTTTGAAAATGTAATTACTGTGTTTTGTTAAGAATTTCCTTGTTATTTCTTCCTAAAACCTGTCATTCAAAAACTAAACACTGTTTTAGAGTGATTCATCAGGAAGGGTTTTTTATATTTTAAAGGTTCACGGATTGCCCGTGCGTAGCCGCGACGAGTTGCTAGTAGTAATATAAACAGTGTAAACTCCATGTAACGACCCTCTATTTAACGTCGAACTAAAGCGTCGAAAACAATTGGCTTTGGTTGGTCTTACTTATCTTCCATAATGATATTCTCAACAGCATTACACCCACTCTCAATAACGACAACAATTGAGTAATAAAGTACTTTTTAAGTAGCTAAAATTAGTAAAAACTGCGCAGTTGTACATTCTTTTGTCGCTTTATTATTCTAGCCCCCAATAAACTCGACTTTCGGCATCATGCATACGAACTTTCTAAGAAATTCGTTCTTTTGTTTACTAATTGGGATATCTCATGGATCATCTATACGTTTTTCTTCTCTCCATGTAATAACAACTCTCTGACACCGCCATAAAATGTCTCTTCGGTGTCGTTATATAGAGTTTACGCTGTATTTAAAAATTAGCTTTTCGGTAGGGTTTTTTCGGCCAATTTTGTAATATTTAATTTTTAAACATTGTACCAGGAATGAATAAAAAGAAGGCGCAATTTCGTACCGAACAATCGCTCCTAACGTTTCATCCACACAAGAATGACAGTATGTCAGAAATCCTACAACAGTTGGACGATGTGTCTGATTCGATTCGATTCGAAAGCGATGCGAGAACCGTTTCGTCTATTGAATCGAGTAATCGGACTGAGGAAACGCAAAAGTTGATTTTGAAGAAGTTGTCGAAAATTTTGAGGTTATTGGAGAAGAAGGATCAGACTTGAAGGTTTTTCGTATTCGTAGCCTTGTCATATCATACGTCGAAGGCAGTTGATTTCCTATTTCCCATATATATTTCCATCCTCTAGGAAACATTTGAATAGTAAAAGTAAAAATAAGTATGAGCATATACGAATTATTTATCAATTTCACACATTTATTATATAAACGTCTCAAAATTATTGAAACTTTATCGACAATCACACGCAGCCACAAAACAGGTCTTGCTCCGCGTGTATGTGTGCGTGCACGCAGGTACCTGTAGTAGTGCGTGCGCCAGTGAGCTTTGTGATTTATTGTTGGATAAATATTCTGATCGTTAAAATATTAAATCAATTAATTAAAAAATATGGTTATCTCTAAATTCGGTAAATTAAAATTGATGTACAGTATTTTATATGTAGAAATTGTCTATGAATACAATTGAAAAGTACAATTTTTAATTTCTCCGCAGTTGCTGCAGTCTGTGGATGAAGATATTAGTATCAGTGGTGAACACAGAACTCCGTCTAGACAGGTATTTTAGCACTTGATAACAATTTATTAATAGTTCAGTTAAAAAAGTAAAAAAGTAAATGTGGGTACCCGCAATAATATTCGACCGTATCGAAATCGAATCCAAAACACAACCTGTCGTGTTCCTATAGAAATTTCACGCCTGATCGTTGTAGCTTTTGTCTAATTTGCTAATAAAATAAGGCCATACACACCCGAAACACTTATTGTTTCTCAGGGATCGAACCCAGCCCGAAGTGTTGGTAACTTTTGCATGTGGTTGATACATTTCTGCGTCATGATAGGCTATGTCTTCTAGCCTTAAAAAGAATCGAACCTAAAACAAAATTCTGGACCGAAGGACCTTTTAACAAGACTTTCGAAACATTAAATAAAATATTGATACAAGAATAAAACCAGGATTTTTTTTCAGATATCACCAAATCCGCCTAACCATAGCCGGTCATCATTTAGCCGTTCATCACCAGAGCGAAATGGTGATGTATTCGCAGCGAGAGATGAACAAGAGAAATTACTGAAATAAAACCGGATTTTTTTAGTTTTTGGAAGCGCTGGGAATATTTTACGAGGTTTTACAATAATTATGAAATTCTATTTCTTCAGCCAATCAGTATAACTGCCAGAGCGGCCATTTTGAATTTATGGTTTAAATTATTCTTCTAGAATAATATAGCTTTTTTAGACAGTGCGTACTTATATCTAGAAACTCGTATTAAAAACTGTGATCTTTACAGAAATATATAATATATATGTACAAATTGTCCGTACTTAATACATAAATAGATTTTAGTAAAATAAATAGTACATGGCTAATAAAATACGCTATTTTTTAATAACACTTAACAAACTATAATCTAAAATTATTTCCAATCCAGAATTTAGCAAATTTAGATTGATAAATGTCAAAATTCGACCTGTCGAATCTAAAGATATTTTTCAAAAACGATCCACCGATCGATTGGAAAAGTATTTTATGAGAAATGGTTTGAAATGTCAATCTCTAGAAGTAAAATTGGATTGGGATTGAATATAGAAACGGCGTTAAAGAACCTTAATGATGTCGTCGACGTAACCCAATTTCGATAGTAATTTTATATGATATATTGAAGAGTAGTACGCTTGCTGAATATGTAACTTTAGTTAGTAAAATTTTGGGTACCTAGTAATTAAATTCTCGTTTAAAAATCCTAAAAATATCGTGAATATGTCCCAAAAACCCAGTGAACTGTATATACAAAAAACTTTAGTTGAACATCTTGTTTTTTTTTTAAGTCGGCTAAAAAGTACCTGAAAATATTTATTTATTTACAGTTTATTTATATAAAAATAATATTTAAAACTAAATATTATACAATTACCTAAGTTATTGAATTGAAACTTCTTTAGGCGCATGAGGGTATTTTTTTTACGGATGAAACACAATAATAATAATATTAGCGTCACGAAGATGTGCAGCGTTTTTGTCGAAGAAAAGGAAGATACCGATTGAGAGAGAGTGAGAAGCAAATAGCCATGGAGCGAGCAAGTGAGAAAGATCGAGAGAGAGAATGAGATAGAGCGAACGTCGCATCACGCACAGTGCCATGGAGCGAGAGGTGGGAGAGAGCTGTAGTGAGAAAGATTGAGAGAGAGAGTAAGGGAGAAAAAATACACCCTATTGGTTGATGTATTCGTTTAGTTATTAGAACTTTAGATTGCCATTCTGTCGCATAACGTCTTCTGCAGTAAACGCAGATTTTTTATTTATTTATATTATCATTAGCACGTATAGGTCGGTTATCGAAAGCTGGCGCGTTCACAGTACTCAAACTAATGCAATTTTACTATACAGTATGTTTAAAAATGTGACTTTTTTTTGCCAAGCTATATATTTTAGTCTACTCTGGTTTTAGTAAGGTTGGGTGGGTTGTAAATAAATAAAAATGTGTCAAATACATATAAATATTATGTGCATACACGGGTGGATCCAAAAGTTCTAAGCCCGACCAAGAACGTAAAAGAGTAGTTTGTGTAATTAATCATTTTTCATTTTTCGACATAAGCTCCATCTAGCTCAACACACTTCACTTTTACTTCACTAACAATTCTTTCAATACTCCTCTTAGAAACCCCAGTCGCATCTGATGTCAAATTAAAAATTACATTTTTTTCATTAAACTGCTTAAAATAATTAAAAACATTGTGCACCATTTCATGATATTGTCCGGGTAATGTTTGAAAAAAGATCAACATGTACAGTAAAGATCAACATAAACAGTAGCAAAAGCAAAACAATAACTGTTACTTTTATACTCATAAGCTTGACCGAGCGCGAGAGAGACGGACAGTCTTTTCATGATGCATATTCAGTGTGACATCACGCCTCGCGCTTATTCACAGACACTACACAAGCACAAAGTGTAAATGTGTTAAAGCCGCCAGCTTTAAATAACATACCAATATACAGTGTGAATATAGATATACAAATACATGGAGTGATCATATACTGGTATATGATCATCTATTGGGGCTTTTACCTTAGTAATAAATCATTTACAAAGAAGTTTCACTTCTGACATGTGCACTTTGTACGCACGCACTTTTTTAAATGGATTAAGTCAAGGAGTCCGGCGTAGTTTTGAGTTAGCGTATTGCGCGGCAAAGAAGTTTCTGAATTATCCCAAGAAATATTTGTTCTTTCACTATACAGACAAAAGTAGACACTAGGGTTATTAACCCGTCATGACCTATCAGCTGTTTTAAATCATTTAGGCTGTATTTCAGTTTAATAAGTAATTTCTAAATTTCAAGATACTACAGATATAAAATTATATCTAATAGCTGACCCGGCAAACGTTTGTTTTGCCATGTATATTATTTCTAGGCAACATTTTTTTAGTTCAATAAAAATAACTATCTACAATAATAAAAAATAGGCATCGTAGAGGGGTAAAATTAGGGGTTGTATGTATTTTTGTATGCTGTATCATAATGAAATAAAAGCAAAACAAAAATTGTCTATTTTTTAATTTAATTTTTTTTTTGGATGGACACTCCTTATCACTTAAGTGTTTGAAATAGGTAGTGGCCGATTCTCAAATTTACTGAATATACATAAAAGAATTCATAAGAATCGGTCGAGCCGTTTCGGAGGAGTATGGGAACGAACATTGTGACACGAGAATTTTATATATTAGATTAAATTTTTAAATTAAATTATTGGACTACACCCGGAACGCAAAACGTATCTAACTTATTAAATGAAGCTCAATTGATAAATCCTAATTTATTTAAACCAAGAATCGTAATGAAATATAAATCGTTGAAAATTTAGGGAAAGTACTCCAATCCCAAAATTTTGCTGTATCTGTATTTAAAAAATAAGCTACAAGTTCACTGGGTTTTGGGACAAATACATCTCTAGCTGTATACACTGTTTTTAGTATAGTTTGCACTTATAATCAGCGGATTAATTTAAGATTGGATTGTTCACCCCATAAAAGGTTTTTCAAGGCCAAAAAGTTTGAGGCTCTATTTGTAAGATTTTCCAAAACCTTAGACGAAGTATCTGTAGTAGAAGATTGCGTGCAAATAATGCTGAATTATGTACTTAAAACAGAAAAAGACAAAGTATTTTTATTTACTTACCGATAATGTCTTTGTCGAAAAGTAGCTAGTAAAAAAACTTCGCGAAAAGCTACTTAATCTGTGGTAAAGAGGATGGTCACACTAAGTTCCGAGAGACCTATTTGATATAACGATAGAGGATGCAATCTGAAGCCAAGACCTATATTTGTAATAGATTAATAGTACCATAGATAATAATGTATCTCTAGTTTATTTCCTTTAATTATTTCATACAGCACCACGCAAAAAATCTTAAAAAAAGAAATGTGTGCGTGTACTAGGTGTACACACGTAAGAAGTGAAACTTATATAAAACCTTTGTTGTACGCAGAGCCATAATTGGTTTGTTTTAAGTTTAGAGGTCCGAAACTATTTCTTTAAACACAGTAAATTTTGATACACTGCACACACAGTGTATCAAAATTTACAAATTAATTGCTGCAAATTGCGATTAGCAAATTTCAAGTCGAAAATGTAATCCGTTGTCAAACTTCAAAGTCAAAAACATACTATATGTCATATTTTAACGCCGATAAAGAAGTTTGACTTCAAAAAGCAACAAGGCGCGTAACGGAAAAATGTGACGCGTAACGCAAAAATGTTACACTAAATTTTTTTCCAACCCCGATAAAGAAGTTTCACTTCAAAAATTATACTGCATTAAAATATATATGTCACTACTTATTTTAACATAAATACAAACAAAAAGTAATGCCAGAAACTAATTGTTTTATCTGTATAGACGATTGTGTTTGCCTCCATACAGTGGTGGCAGACTGTACAAAGATATAGGCGCAAAGACAAAATCATTTATTTGCTTACTGTATAGGTTTCTTTCCTCATTATTGTTATTATCAGGAACATACTTCGTCTAAGTATATTTTAGTTTGCTTATAATTGAGATCATGGCTAAAGTTAATCTAAACTTTCGTTAAAAAATATAAAATGAGAATTTTTGTAAATTTATTTTAATTATCAAATTTATTTGTTCATTGTGTATTATTTGCTGTGGGTGCTTTATTTTAATGGCCTAACACAATTAGTACGACAATAAGTATTATATCTAGTCATTCGCCTGTTGGCTTTGTGTTAGTGGCGGCTTCCGAAGACAGTGTTATGTGATGGATAGAGATATCGCGATTGGACTGATCTTTCGTGCGTTACCTACAGTTGTGCAGTTTCGTGGTCAACGGCCGCAAGCAGGTTGGTTAGTATTATTAGTTACGATTCTGTTTCAAAAAAGAATTACCATAGAACAAGTAGGTAGTACTAACTTTTTCTCAACAGTAGTAAAAAGACTAAATAAAATACCACTTTAAAACAATTAAATTACGTTTTAAACCTTTGCGTATTTGGTAGTCGAATTGTGATGTTTTACTTAGAAAATACTGTTTTCGGAAGCATTTAAATGTACTTAATTTTATGTTAATAATCAAAATATAGATAATTGCTTCGCCATACATTCAGAATGGACTGAGGATACATACATACCCCGGCTAATCAGAGTTAAGCGTTTAAACGCGTTCTTTTTAACGCAATTAACGTATAAATACCATCCGTATTACCTTGACTTCCGTCGTTCCACAACTGAGCGTTTATTAAGGCAATTTCTGCCGCGCACCACTATGTGAAACCAGCTGCCCACTGAAGTATTTCCGAACCAATTCGACTTAGGGTCCTTCAAGAAAAGAGCGTACCAATTCTTAAAAGACGAAAGCGCGCTTGCGAGTGCCCATGGGCGGCGGTATCACATAACATCAAATGAGTGATACCGCCTTCTGCCCGTTAGCCTCCTGTAAGATAAAAAAAATGTCAAAAACGTAATGGATGTCTCACTGTGGAACTTACATAAGATTTGTGTAACTGCATATATCCCTTTCATAGGATGCCTACATACCCGCAGTGGGTTTCCATAAT